CCCCCCCCCCCACCCACATCCCCGTCGTCAAGGACGCTGGCACCTTGTTACCCACAGTGACAGACAGCGGAATCCCGCCCAACCCACTGGGGATGCAGACACTACCGGGACGGCAGAACATCCCACAACCGGCAGGAATGCAGCCCCGTGACGTCAGGCCGCGCGCGCAGACCGTGACACAGCGCCTTGCTAATTACCCATAATCCCACAGCTATTTTCAGACGCGGCTCGCTGTCACGCTCCCCCATCATGAGGAACGGCATCACAGGGGGAGTCGGGGGGGGAGGGGTCAAAAAGAACGTTGATGGAGGGAGACTTACCTGAGGAGGCAGCCAGTGCCCCCCAGGCCCTGTAATTGTCCTCTAAGTCACGAAGTCACCCAGACACCCAAGGGGCCAGTAGGGATCTTCAGGATACCTTTTAAATCCCGAAACGAGTGGTCATATGATTACAGGTGGCTGCGAATAAACCCCTGGCCTCTAACTCCTACCTGCCAATTAAAGCTCACCATGGAACACTCTGACCCCGCACTGCTAAGCACGGCGACCGGGATGCGCTGCAGCTTCGGCATTTTTCGGGCCGGAAGGTGGCGATAAAAGCCGAGCGCGCGTCGTGTTTAAACGCCGCCGCGTCCTCGTGAAGGGCGCGTGACTCAAAGCGAACTTTCGAAAAATGAGTGCGCCGTGGGACGGCGAGCGGCACGCGACGCCCTGCGCGTGGGAGGGGAGTCGCCCCCTTTCCGCCACGGGGGGCGCGCGGCTCCCACGGAACCAGCCGGCACCCGGCGCGCTAATCGAGCCTAATTGGTTTCATAATGGATTCCTGCCCACGTTTAAGTGTTTTCACTTCCACCCCAGACGTGTTTATCTCTATCCAAGCTGGCTGGAGTTCCTGCTCCATCAAAAATTTCAGCTACATATATTGTAATTGTTGCATCAATTCGGCAATAATCCAGCAGCGGAGACCGGGGGGCGTGTTAGGGCGCCGCAGGCAGGGTGCAGGCTGGGGACAGTGGCACTTCATCGCTCGCCCCGCTGGTTTTTCGCCGGCCGGAAAACCCCTTGTTCAAAAAACGCCAGGCAGCCGTCCCTCCCCAAATAATAATCTGATTGGGGGGGGGGGGAAATCAGTATTTTCGTTTCTGAGCCACTTTTGCCAGATGCCAGTTTAATGAAACACATCCTCCGTACAAAGCCCGGCAATTCAAACCGGTTTAGCAGTTTTTTTTTTTTTTTTTTAGTAAACCACACACCGACATGAACACCCCACTTACGCGTCTAACCCCAACCCCGCTCCCCTCTGACACATCTGTGTTTCCGCTGAGATTCAAGTGCATGTACCTCCTTCATGCTCCCATCTTACACTTAACACGTTTAACTGCGCCGGCATCTTTAACAGTTCGCACGGCTGGGAGCCGGCCGTCCACACGGGACCTTAGGCGGGAACACAACGCACTCAATCCCCGCCTCCCTGCCTCCTGCTCCGGCGTTTAATGTTTAACCGTGTAAATAATACGGCAAATATAAACCCGCCGGTTCAGCGCCGAACTATGGCTCATTTAGTCCCCAGAGTCCGGCACCAAACCTTTTTAACTAAACCTACAACCTGAAATACTGAAGCTTTTATTGTGTAGCTTAAACATTTTGAAGCTATGTCTAAATCCCATATTCATTTTCACTCGTGGACATTTTTTGCAAAAAGTAGATAATGTGCGTTTTTTTCTTATTGCCATTACTTTCCAGACAAGAAGACGAGGCACTGAGCAGCGTTCAAGGCACCCGTGAGGTCCCGTTATACAAGCGCTTCAGTTGGGTTTGTGGTCTCTTAAGCCTCCGGTGCCCAGCATGTGCCCACCGAACTGCACAGGGGAGCGAACCCCTCTACAGAAAGCAGAGAGAAAATAGTAAATTACACTTTTCGAGTGCTTACAGATAATGAGTAAATCGTAATCGATAGATCGGAGCGATCGTGCGCAATTACGCGGTATCTGCAGTGCACAGCTGCCCGTACCACATGGTCACCCCCCCATCTGTGTCCCAGTCCCAGACCACCCCCCTCATCCAAGCCCAAAGCCACTTATTTCAGCTGCAATAAGCTCAAGTCGAATCGTGTACGTGTCTGTTGAGTTTTGATATAAACACGCGCATGTTTCCAATACCATGCTTGCACATATATATAAATACGGCGTTTTAATGCAACAAAAAATAGATCATCACCTTTGCACACATGCAGAAAAAATATTAGGATGCGACCTGTTATCTGTGCTGTTTTGCAAATAAGCAGAAAAACCACAAATCCGATCCCCCAAAGAGCAGCATTTTCTAAAATAACTTGTTAACCAGGTGTCTGGCAGTGTTCACTTACGGCTGACACTTGTATGTTTTTTAGTCATCCGCATCTAAATCTGGGTGGTTAAAAATGCACTTAATAACGGGGGGAGGGGAGACTGGATGCAAATACTGAAGCTGTGAAGCGCACCGGCGGCCGTTAGATGAGCGGCTCTCACCTTCCAGCCGGCCGAGCTGTTGCTGTCCCCCTTGTCCTTAAAGTAAGGGACACTCTTCACCATCCAGTCGTAGATCTGCGACAGCGTGAGTCGCTTCTCCGGAGAGCTCTCGATGGCCTTGGTGATCAGGTCGGCGTATGACATATTTCCCCAGGCATTGCGGCGGGACGAGCTGCTCTTCCTCTGCGCGGCGGCAGCCACAGAGGAAGCCGAGCCGACTGGGGAGGACAGCACCGGCACCTGTTGCTGGTGCGGGACCTGGGGACCCTGGTGCTGCTGTTGATGCTGATGGGTGTGCTGGTGAATGCAGTTTTGCTCCTGGCACTGGTAATCATTGCACAAGGAGAGAGGCTTCTGCTCCGGGTAATCTTCGGTCTCTTCCAGCAAGCTGAGGTTGTTGATGTAATCGACGGTGCCCCCCGGCTCCTGCTTGACGGACGGGGCCGGTGAGGATGTGTTAGATCCGCCGGCCGGGTCAATGAACTCCGGCCGAGGAAGCGGCCAGGTGCAGGAACGGGGCCGCGAAAGTGGCTCGAACTCCGGGTCGATCTCGACGAGCTGCGGCTGCAGCGGGGCTTCTGCCATCTTAATAGCAAATGCAACGGACAGCCAGAAGTCGCATAGATCTCCGAAGTCGCACAAAAAAAAAAACAAGCAATAAAGTAATAATAATAATAAAAAAGATCAGGGAAGGGAATAGGAAAGTTCGTCACTTCATAAACTTCTACATGGAGCTTTTAGTCACAGTACAAAATGAAACGACGCGCCGGTAAACTTCAGGACGCCTCAGCGGATCCCCCTGCGTCTTCCGGCAACCGCTCACTGGCGTTTGCCGGTCCCGGGTTCGGCGGTGCGCGGTCCGAATTGTGCGCGTCCCCCGCAGTGGCAGCGTGCCGAATGTCAGCCGGAGGCTCGGCACCGCGGGGTGACTGGGATCACCGCGAGCCGCGCGGCCCCGCCCCCACCCCTGACGGACAGGCGCGCCAGCCAATAGCGTGCGAGCATCTACAAGGTAAACACCGATGTTCCACTTTTCCACCCCCCCTTTTTTTCTTTCTTTCATTACTACTCTGACTGTCCCACATTTCTCAGATATTTTCTTTTGCCGCTAATAACTAACTTGTGTCGGGGCCGTAAGTGACTCTTTGAACGTCCGCGGGGGTTGTTTTGTCGGAAAGAGATGGAGCGGATGATTTAAAAGTTACAAAACTGGGAGGTGGGGGGTTTTCTAAACGAGAAGAAAAAAACCTGAAGCGTGCTAATACTGGTTGTGTAATATGTTAACCGTGTTAGTAAACACTCGCTAAAAAGTCTTTAAATGTTGAATCTAGGAATTCCAGAATAATTTGGATAATAAATGTAATTAAAAAAAAACTCAGTACTTTGTCTTCCAACAACGATCCTCCCCAGCGGAACATGCGTTATTCTTATTTTGATGTGACACGTACAGCTATCGGAGGGACTGCGATTCAGTTTGTTCCCGTTCTCCAATAATGCTGATCGCCTGTAGTGTCAGTTTCAATCTGAATGTCTGCTTTAAAACGGAGAACACGGGAAGAAATGGGCCTGTCTTATTCCACATATTCCTGTAATTGACTGATAAATTTTAGGTATAAACGAAAGCTAATGGTGTGTGAAAGGACTGACACCGAAACAGCTGAGAGGAAATCGGGCGTTTTAAGACAATGGTCTAAAAGATTATTAACAGAAAAATGTCGACACGATTCCTGCAGTCTGTGTAATGTGTAATAGTTGCCATATTGTACCTGAGTTGTTAAGAAACGAAGCTCTTTAACTCTCCACACTCACCAAAAGTGGTGGAACGGTTTGTTTATACATGAGTTGAAATGACGGGATAAGACAGAGTAAGTGACACTTGGAAATAAATGGGATCAAAACCAAAATGCAAATACTTTTAGTTTGGGTGTCTGCCCGCAAGTATTTTATAGACAGTCTGCTTTCTGTGCCAGAAGAAGGTTGAGTTGGAAGGGTAATTTCTGACCATCCCACAGGCGTGTCTAGGTGTGGCGCTCCGAGTGACCCATTGTAGTTTGCGTGGACCGCAGTGTTTATTACTTGTGGACATTATGATTTTGGTGTGTACCTACAATATCTTTATAAGCGCTTATAGGGTTACCCTTAAATGCCGCCCCCCCCCTCCGGGAGTCTGGAGCAGGGACATCCAATGGAGAGGGATTTAAAAATGCGTCGCTTGTGGACAATTTTAGGAATTGTCTATAAAACTCACTGCCGAGCCAGACAGTCGTTGCATTATAGTCAAATTACTGCTACGGGAAAACAACTTTGCTTTCAGTTTTGTGCGGTCAGCCAGTACAGTGTATACCATTCTAATCCGCACTAGGCCGTTTTACTGGTTTGTTTTTAGACTACGACTCTATGGAAATTGTAGACCTATTTTTACCTTCACGTTCACCGGCATGAGTGACAGACCTTTCATGTAAAGCAAACTGTTCCGTGTAAGGCAAAGATAAACCGACTGTATAGTATTCAAAAAATCCTGAGTAACTTTTGCAAATGACAGGGTTGACTTTAACGCGTCCAGGGTGTAGGCTATTTTACGTTGCCTGGTTTAGTGTTAAGACGTTAGCTGCTTTGAAAAACGTATTTCACCGTTTCGAAACTGCAGCGAACACGTGACCAACAAATCCAATGCCAAGCATGAACCCATTAAAAAACTACAAAACAGGTAACTGCCTTGTTTTTTGGTTAATTGTGTTTAATCGTGCGCTCTTGGCAGCATTTTTTCAGTCTAATAAAAGACAGATGTATATACCATCTGAATCCAGCTAAGCAAGAAAAGCAAATAGGCCTAAATCAATCTTTCATTTATTCCAAGTGCAACCAGCATATTTTAACTCATCCAAAATGAGGGAAAGACGCTACTTCTAACATTTCTAATATTATTTTACCCGCCTTAAAAAATCTTTACTCGCTGTGTGCGCTTGTTCCTATAAAAATTATCATCCGGCTCAGATTATATATAAACGCTCAGTCTGAAAGGCCCCTTACAAGCCAGCGCGGGTGGGGTGGATGCGTGCTATCAATTAACACGAAGTTACCCCACCAAGCGCTGCTCTCAAGGTATCACCTCCTCCATCAGTTTGATGGAGATCCTATGGCTTTGATTGATAAATATTCCTTAAAACTATGGCAAAGCCAGCAACGAGTACGAGTTCGTCGGCTCATCTGCGAGCCGCGCAGCACCTGAGTCGTCACCGGCGCCGCCGGCTCTTCAGCGCCCCCTGGTTTAAAAAAAGCACATTGTACCAAAATACTCCGCGCTTCATCTCTATCGCCGCGGTGGCTGCGTCGTTTTGATATTTACGCTTAACGGGCGAACAGCGTTAGTCGTATATCACACGCCGTTTATTCTCGTGAAGGAATTTGCTGAGACTTCTTTAGGTCTTCTACTTTTATGCTCGGCGTCACAAAGCACCTTAGGTGAAGGAATAAAAAAGGAAGTTGTTGGCCAGGCAATATTACAAATGACCCGGCATGTTCCACAACTTACTACTATTACAAACTGTCTGCGAGGTTATTACGAGCAGATAAGAACACATGTCTAGACTGTCTAGAGAGCACTGTCTATGTTGTCATTGCGCATCAGCTCTGCAATTACTCCAGATCTCTTAATAAAAGCCTTCATCCGTAACAATTTCTGTCCATAGCGGCTCCCAAAGTCACCTTCATATTTTAGCAGTCGTCTGTGCACTCCAGACAAGTTTTACCGTGCCAGAGACTCGTTTGGTAACGTTGCCAAAAATACAATGTCAAAAACACGTGTTAACTGACCAGTGCGGAAGTGCTGATTATACCATCAATTCTTGGACACCACTGCCACCTTCTGGCAAATTTGTGAAACAATTACCTCGGGGGAAAATCCTGTTCAAATGTTTAATCACGTTTCACAGACCTCGATTAGTGACTTGTTGTTGATGCGGGTATCTCCGCATGTAGGGAGAGGAGATCGCAAACACAATGCGAGTTAATATAATAACTGGTGACTTCACACTAGAGTAGGAAGGCTTGGCGGACGCACAAGCGAGTTTTCTCGCTGTCAACAAAAAGCACTTAACCAATGCACCCTTTGAATGTGCAGGTATTTAATCTACCCTTTAAATACTCAGATTTGATGTTCTTTTCAGTTAAGTTGTTTTTCGGAAAACAGAGTCATCAGTGTGGAAATGGACAGAGAGGCCCTCTTACAGGTAAAAGGCGCATTAGGGGTAATGGCGCACGCGAGCATACCCGCTTCACGCTCCTGGGCAATTTGCCGCTGCCATTGTATCCTCCCCAGCCACCGGCAGAAAACATCCATCAGCTGGCTAACGGTGCTGAGAAAAAAATCCCAACCGCTTTGCGCAAGAACTTATTCTTATTAAGAAGTTAGTGTCTGACTTTTTAAGTCTGATGTCCACCTCCCATTTCCGGTAATGGAAAAGTCACGCGATGTTTTTTAGACACTCTAAAATGAAGTATTTATAACACAAATGTGACTGAATGCACACATGCAACACTTTACCTGTTAGGCCTATCTGATGACAGTATCGTATCTGACATATCCGGCATATAAACCCCATAAAGAATGCCCACAACCTTTGCGCCATGTTGTACACTACAGAAAACACGCCCACGAACACTACAATAACATCTAAAAATCAGGTACTGCGTTCAAGGTACTTTGTATGTTTCGTATTTATTCGTTCTTGCTCCCCTTTATATGATTACAAGTTGGTGAAACACTACGAGATGAAGTTAAGTACTTTAACCTGGGAATAACACTCATCCACGCTATGAACGTTCATGTAACGATATTCGGTCAGTACAGCCAAAAGGCTAGTATTGAATATTGTTGTTTTAAGTTGACACGTTGCCACACATAGAAAGGATGAAGGCGATACATTTCACCGTCAAGTCTCCGACAAGGCCACAAATATAAAACAAGCGGCAATGCCTCCTAATCAGACTGAAGTGTCAGTAATACATTGCAAAAGTGCTCTTAAACTTCTCGTCTCTCACTACTTTTCCCATGATTCAGTCTGGTGATATTTTATTCCTCCGTGTTTTCGCGGTTACATACAAACCTAATCCGCTTCCCAGGATGAAGTGACGTGGCCAGCCCGCTAGGGGGCAGTATAATACATCACACGCATTTTATTTACTTTCGGGGGGTTAAACCGGGCAGTGATTGGCAGCACATTATTATCTCTCTCTCTTTGGGTTTCCAAGCCTAATTCCACCCATCTGTAGTTAAAGGTTGCTGAGCAGATTTTTTTGTTTTTTGAGGGAGGGACCATTACCACAAATGGAACCAGAAGGAGGCTCTTTTGAGTGCTGGATGGTCTGTTTACTCTGCTTAATGAGCACATTACTTGGGTCTCTGTCAGGCTCTGAGGAATTAAGGCACCCATTCCTGTGCCGCTGTGTACATCCTGTAGATCTCTGGCATGGACCTGGGGCCCTCCGCCCTGGCAGGCCAATCCGCGGACTGGCACTCAGTTCTGCAAGGCCCCGGCCTCGCTCAGGATGTCCTCTTTGGCCCGGAAGTAATCGCGGAACCAGGCGATGTGTTGGACCTTCTGGTTCACCGTAACGTAGGGGTTCTTGGCCAGGCCCAACACTACCAGCTCCATGAAGTGGCGCACGGGGCCCCGCTTAGGGAAGCCGTCCTCAAGGTGGCGCTCCAGGAAGACATGCTCGTGGAAGGGAACGTGTGCCTCCTCCTCCAGGCCTGAAGGGGGCAGCAGATAGTATACTGGTTACAGAACTACACTAGAAGGCAAGTTGCTTCAGAGAAAAGGACCAAGCTGCTTAAAATGAACATTGCTGTTTCTCAATATGCATACTTGACTGTACTTTTGTTCTCGGGTACCTGTTTTACATCATCATCCATTAGTAAAGATCAGTTCCAATACAAAGAACAGAAGTACAGTGGATGGTAAAAAAATCCCTGGATGTTGGTCTTCATCCGGCCCAAATATGAAGGATGCACTGGGTTGCATCTTCACCAAATGAGAATAACCCCCATGATTCACTGCATCTTAAGTTTGTTCTTGGGAGGCAAATTAGCCAGACCGCTCTTGCCAAGACCACAAGTACAGTCTTTGTGTTCTTGGTATTGAAAAACACCCCAATGTTTGACTCATTAGAAGAATGAGTAATTCAGGTCCAGAGAGTAAAAGTTCAGACCAAGATTTTGTTTCAATCAACCAGTTGAGCATAAAGAATCACAGTCACTGACTGGTTGAAACAAAATCCCGGCCTGGACTTTTACTCTCTGGGCCTGAATTACCCAACTCTGTGTACCATTGCCGTTTAGCCAGATCAAACTGGACTTAAACTCACCCGCCTCGTTGTCAATGGGGTACCTCCACAGCTTGCCCTCCTTCGTCCACTGGATCATCTCCTCGAACCCGTTCCGGGGCACCGCCTTCACGGCCACCGCGATTGCATTAGCGAGCTCCAGGTCCCACAGGGTGAGGGTGGGGGCTGTGGGTGTGAGGAGAGGAGAAACACAGGGAGTCACAGGGCGCCCCGAGACAGGGGTGGAGAGGCAGAGCGCAATCGCCCACGAGGCGGCCTCCATTACCGGCCACGGCGTCCTGCCCCGCCGTCTTACTGAAGATGTTCAGCCTCTTCCCTGTGAGCTGGCTCCTCCTATAGGTGGGAAGGACAAAACGAACACGAATAATATTACTCATCTACGTTCTGCATGGCCAGTTTGCATGAATTCTCTTCTTTGGCGATACGGTTCCAGTGGCTGATCAATATTGCTGATGTAACTTTGACATTACACCACAGACTCAAAGATACATCAGCAATCAACTGAATCTTGGTCCGGACTCTTACTCTCTGGACTTGAATTACCCAAATCTGTCAGCAATGTACTTGGGGAGATTAAGAACCCCCCCCACACACAAATGGGGGCCCTACTTCTTACCTTTTCCTCTCTCCATCCGGCCCACCTCCCACACCCCTTGCCTGGGCGTGTCTCTGTGCCGCACCGTCATCCTCGTCATCATCAAGAGCGCGTCGCGCCCCCTGCTGGTTGGGGTGACCGCGTCGTCCCACTTTCATGTTAGCGATGATATTTCTGGAGAAGGACAAAAGGAGACAAATTGAGCCTCATTGGACTAATGCAGCCCTTTCCAACGTTGCTGAGGTTGTATTTTGAGAGGAGCTGGCTGATCTGGACCGAAACGTCAGCTATGGCAGTTATACAGAACCAGTCAAAAGCCCGAACACACCGACTGCTAACCCTTTATTTGTCAACAAAAAACGACCCTAAGCATGATGGTGACACAAGTACTGTACTATTTTGTGAACAAGGAAAAAGACTGAGTGCTGTGACAGATGACCTGTGACAGATGACCTGTGACAGATGACCTGTGACAGATGACCTGTGACAGATGACCTGTGACAGATGACCTGCCCCTGACCTAAACCCTACACAGCTGGTTTGGGATGGAGCTGGATCAAAAAGTAAGAGCAAGGTAGCCAACTTCTGCCAAGAACTTGCAGAAATTCCTTCAGGACTGTTGGAGAAGCATTCTAGGTGGCTATTCCCAGTTAGCTAGATAACTTAAGCCAAATGTGAAAACTGTCCAATAGGAAGAGAGGTGTGACATTCCTATTGGACAATACATTTGGCTTAAGTGTTCTGGCTAAAGAAGAAAATCTGCTTTGTGGTATACCCTCAGGTGGCTACATCTGGAAACTGGCTGAAAGAAAGCCAAGAGCCTGTAATGCTGTCATCGAAGCAAAAGAGAGCTATTTTGAAGAGTTTAAAATTTAAGGAAATTTTGAGATGCGGAACACTTCTTGTTGCACTGGTTGGTGCAATATTTAACATATATTACTTCATTGCCTCCAGGCCTTTTGCTAAAGATGAACAGCTAAAATAGAGACACATGCATTAAAAGCAGGTGTGTCCAAACTATTGACTAGAACTGTACATCAGGTACTAATTAAGTTAATAAAGGTAGCTGAAGGTCATTTACACTATAATAGCAAACACTAGTCACTCCTTAACTGCCACGCCACCTGCTGGCCGCACTCACCCAAGCGTGCGTCCGTCGGCCCTTTGGCCAGCCTGGGCCTGGACTACGGCCTCATGCTTCCTCAGCTGCTGCAGGAGCTCTGACTCCACCCGGCTGCCGTCGGGCAAGGAGGCGGCCGCTGCTGACGCCGCCGCGACCAGCGCTGGGTTCAGGGTGTCCCTGGAATGACAGTCAAGGTCAGCTGGGGTCAGCTGGGGCCACAGCCCTGCACCTGAATGCCAACAGGTCTCCAATTTTACCTTTACATTCACTTATCTGCGTTTTTATTCAAAGCCATGTGTAGCAGGAGGAAGGGTTATAATTTACAGCACCCTCCACAATTATTGGGACCCCTTGTAAAGATTTGTAAAAAAAAAGGGTTAGAAAAAAATCCACACTGAAAAAAAATGAGAAAAAGCCGACCCCTGGCCTCTGTCACCTCATGTTTGCACCCCAGTTAATAAGATGTATTGGATTACAGCTTGAAGGTTCCTATTCACTCCAATCAACTCGAGGACCCTCAATTTACATGGGAAACATGCTTCAGTTACGTTACGTTCACTATAATTTCTAGGGATGCCAAAAATTGTGGCGCGTGTGTTTTTTGTTGAAAATCATGTTTTCTTGATGAAGAAGTTTCTTTGAATAAATTTAATTTCAATGGAAATTTAATTTCATCTCAGTGTGAGATGAAGCTACTGGAGGTGGGCTTTTTTCCAACCCTTTTACAAGGGGTGCCAATAATTGTGGAGGGTGCTGTATGTTCACTCCCAGGGATTTGAACCCACAACCTTTGAGTTGTTATAGCAATGCTCTGGTTGTTGAGCTACAGGACCTATATAAAAATCTAATTAATTTTTATCCAGCATCCTCTTCATGCCAAGCATGCAGGCATAAATATAAGTCTGCAGTACGTGTTCATGCCACAGGAGGGCGTGTAGAGCCCCCTTCCCAGTCACCTCTTGCCTCCCGCTGCTGTGGCCTCCTGGAACATGCTGATGGTGCTCTCCATCTCCCCAGGCCTCGGCTCCGGCCGCTTCTGCACTGGGCCTGGCGCCGCCGCCATTGGCCTGGCTCTCCTCTTGGTGGTCACCTGCACCTTCATATCCCCGAGAAGAGCCAGCAGCTTCTCCTTCCCTGACCTCCCTGTCTGAGGTGAGGTCTCCTCAGCTCTCTCCTCCTGTGCCTTCTCCTTTGTCTTGAGAGGAGGGGGCTCATCTTTGATTTCACTGCACAAGACAGACCCAGTGCTCAGGCCCCGGTACCCACAAGGGGCAGCAGCTCTGAAAGGACACAAAACATCGTAAAGGATTCGTAACCAGACAGAGTAGATGTGACGCAGTTTTCAAACACGGTTCATATTTCATTTTAATTTAGCGGTTCAAATGTTTAACATATATTAAGCAACACTACAAGGATTGCTTAATATACGCAAAGACGATAACTGAATGCAATTTAGAATTTATGAGTTTCACAGCCTTCTGATTTTGTAGAGACAATCTAATCCAGGTGCCCACTAGCAGATCAGCAAATAACTAATTATGAAAATTTCTTGAAAGTTATGTAAGAATAGCCTTACTTATAGTCAAAACGGCGTATTTTAGCATGCTACAGAATTATGGTTTCATCGTGAACAATGGAGATATGCTATCAGAATGGAAACAACGCGACACCGCAGTAACAATCTCCATGTGGTTTATTTGTAGACCATGGTGAGCCCAGGAACCTGCGAATTCAGATTCTAGACTGTCGTTATTGCTTCACTTTTGTTTAAATTGCTCAAACACCATAAAAGAGAGTAGCTGCAGGTTGTTCGATAAAGCGAAGGTGAACGTGCAAACCTTCTCCGGAAAGACACAATATCATTCGTTTACCTGAAAATGCGAGGCGTCGCTGCTGAAATACACTTTGGGGAATATATACACGCATCCTGAGGAAAAACAACGGGTTGTTGAAAGTGGGATAAAGACAAAAATACTCTCCTGTACATCGCAAACGCATAAAGTGGTCTACAATGTCGTGCGGACACGCAAGTTACACATCCGTCGCAACACATAAGTACGTCCGACCAGAAGATCGTCTCTCCGCACTTGTGTTCCGCGTTTTCGTTAATAGTTTGATATTTGATATTAAAGAGTTTCGAGGTTTGAAAGTACGTTAATCCACACGAATCAGTTATTAAGTATTCTGAAAATATATGTAACGTCTATTTCTCATATTACAGAAGGCGTGGGACATTAATTAATCTGAACTCCTTTAGGTTATTGGGTGAGTTTTATAGACTGCGTATATGTTTTGCGTTTTCTTGAGTTATTCTTAGACATGCGAGAGTGAATTTATATGTCATAACTAAAAGACACAGACCTCCTGACTCCATAGGATCGCGAACACATTACAAAGACTGCTTAGGTCACTGAACGACGGTAAATTAGATTTTGAATTGCTTATTATCTTTGTTTGTTTGTTTGTTTGTTTTTGCTTGTTTATTTATTTTTGGATAATCGTGTGTAGTATTTGAGTGCTTATCTGAATCAGTGATTAATCAGCAATGTAACACGTTTATAGGAGTCACCATATTTACTTCTAATCATATAACAAGTTTAGCAGGTGCCATAAACTATCTAGACTGATATAACAATAATGTAAGAAGAAAATTAGAGGATGAACATACTGCCGTTTCTGTAATAAAACAGTCCGATGGCAAGGAATAACGTCGGTATCCAGATATCGGATTTGTCATGAAAATAGCCTACGTATACCCTATAACTATTTATGAAATTATCAACATAGATTATATGCTACATTAATGATATACATCAACATATTTTGACCATTTCATCAATCATCTTTCTATAATTTGATGACGTCATGCGGCTTGTTTTCACTGTCCTCTGATACACGTGGAGTAGGCTCACCAGTAGGTTTTCAGTAAATTTAACAGTACTTGTTCTGCGACAAAGAAAATAGATAGTAACTCCCTTTAGCTGACGGAGTTAAAGCGACCGCATGCATCCTGCCCTACTCCAGATGATGCGAGTTACCTTCGGAGTTCATCCTGGTAATCAATAGCCTGAAACTCCAACTTAAACTCTTTCCGATGCTTTCATGAAGGTTTAGGACTTGAGGTAAGTTGACTGAAAATGTGGAATTCTGAGGCAGCGCAGCCAGCAAAAAAAATGCCAGTTATATTTGTATCTCTGTAATTTAATCGGCATTCACCTAGCCATACTTTGTACTGATACACGCGCGACGTAACCCATTGTACTGAACTTTAAATAATTGATGATTGTAGACATACAACTGAAGCATAAAAGATAAATATTTAATTTGGTTACAAAATATGAATTCGATCACTATTGGAAGTAATGGACATTGATGAATTAGTTTAAGACAAGAAGGATGAATGGCTGGAAAGGGTTTGCTCTTGTCGTGAGTGATGTTGGTCTCGGAATTCCTCGTGCGAGCGCTCTGCGTGCCCGACTCGCGTGGCGCCGGCTAGGAGTGCTAGTTTAAACGGAAAGTGTCTCTTTTCTCTCCAGATAAGACACCAAGTTACAGACTAGCTTTATATTCGTACAAAATGTCAATATTGATATCTCAGCATGGGAAGAGATGTAGGGACATCTTGTGCAAACTGTCTAGAAGAGTCCTAGAAGAAGGAGTGGCGTAATTAAGCAACAGCATTAACTGGGAAAACATTAGTGAAATACTGATTGCTGAAATTGTCCAAATAAAGCATCTTATGTGGTCTAAGGAAATGAAACAATCAAAATGAATTAAACAAGGCATCGTCATCGAGAAGACATTAAGCCGGTCAGTGTAACTCGCCAACACGTTTCCAACTGGAGAACCGGTTCGGACGCGGACGCTCTTTGCAGTGACGTGTCGCGTTCTTACGTTCTCATTAACTCCGCCCCCGCATGCTTCTTTGTATCAAGTCTTTGTCCCAGTCATTGATACATTGTTGCTTCATATAAAAACGATTTATAAACGATACAAATTCATTGTTGAAATATATACAATATAAGGAAGGTGTAACACCCTTGTTCCTCGGCAGAGATTTCATACCCACTGAGAAGCACTAGGGGAAGTGAACGTTAATTGCTGAATACCTGATTCTGGTTCATTACCTGTTAATGCTTTTGATACTTCACATCAGGCTATAGCTATACACATGTATTTTGGAATGCAGATTTTCATAACTTAAAAATGCCTCAGTATTAGTAGTTATAATTAAGTGAGACAAGACGCCTTAGCAAGACCTGTATGCAGCCAATAAGAAGGTGCATAGGACCCTGTTACTTGACCTCTGACCTACCGTATTTTATCTAGTAGACAGAGACACGTAGACCCTTGGGAAGGAACCTGCTAGTCCCCGTTTCCATGGCGCCACACCCGGCCGTCCAGGCGGCTATTGACCTCTCCGCCGGAGCCATAGGTAACGTGACTCGAGTAACATCTTCACCTGGGCGTCTGTATCAGGACATCCGGCCGTTCAGAACCGCGCCGAGTTCTGCTCTGGCATAGGTGAGACCCGCAGTCCCGCTCACAGCGATCTCCCCTCGCCACAGGCGGTGCAGCTTGTGTGTTCAGCGGCCAGCCTCTGGACACGGCCAAGGTGAAGATGCAGACCTTTCCTTCGCTGTACCGTGGCTTCCTGCACTGCTTCCTGTCCACCTACAAGCAGGAGGGGCTGCGGGGGCTGTACCAGGGCACTGCTCCCGCACTCTTGGCCAACGTCGGCGAGAACGCTGTGCTCTTCATGGGCTACGGCGTCTGCCAGGAGGTGGTGCGGCTGGTGTGGAGGGGCGGGGCTGAGGGCGGGGCCAGCTCAGAGCTCAGGTGAGGGCCCCTCACCCTGGAATCAGCTTAATTAGCAGCATGAATTTCAGTTCTTAATGCTCCCTTTTTGGCATTTTAAGGTTCCTGGTACAGCTAGTGTGCTGGAAAGCTCAGTAAAATCTCTCTCTCGCCTCTTGTCCCCGTCGGTTTCTCTATCCTTCTTTTCCTTGTCTCTTCCTATCTCTATCTCTACCTATTCCACTTTCCCCTCCTGTCTTTCTCTGTTTTGCACTCTCTTGCTCTCTCCGTATCTATCTCTCTCTGTTTTTCTCCCTGTCTCTCCCTCTCTCTTGGTCTCTCTCTTTCTCTCTCTCTCTCCTCCACCAGCGATACCCAGAAGGCCTGTGCCGGCTCAGTTGCCTCCATCTTCTCCTCGCTGGTCCTGTGCCCCACGGAGCTGCTGAAATGCCGCCTGCAGGCCATGCACGAGATGGCAACCCTGGGCAAGGTCCCCACCAGGCAGAGGTGTGTTTGGGGACAGTGTGGCCGCCGTTCTCGACACTCATCTTCCGGGGCTCATAGCTCGCAGCAGATTGAAACGTTCCCGCTGCTTTGTTGTTACCAGCACGCTGTGGTCTGTGGTGCGGGACGTGATGCGGAAAGACGGGCCCCTGGGCTTTTTCCAGGGCCTCACCAGTACCATCGCCAGGGAGGTGCCGGGATACTTTTGCTTCTTCGGGGCCTATGAGCTGAGCCGGACCTCATTCGCCCGTTACCTGGGCACGGGCAAGGATGACATTGGTACCCCTCTGACACACAGACACACACACTGCACTAGCTTCTGGATTCCACTTCACACATCACTGAGTCTGTCCAGGAGGGCAAATTATTATGGGAAGGCTGCGCTGAGATTATCCTTATTAATGGCATGTTTCTTGTTCCTTGTGCGTCACGTGTTCCTGGCCAGGTGTGGTTCCCATAATGCTCAGTGGCGGATGCGGGGGCTCCTGTCTCTGGCTGGTGGTGTACCCCATGGACTGCGTCAAATCCCGCATCCAGGTGCTGTCCATGACGGGCCGGCAGGCAGGTTTCCTCAAGACCCTGGTGGACATCGTCCGGGTCGAAGGTGAGGATCTGGTGGCGGGGCGGGTTGTGTGCATCAGCACCCCTGTATGGTTACTGACTCTTCCCCCCCCCATCTATCCAGGTGTCTGCGTGCTCTACTCCGGCCTCACGCCCACCCTGATCCGCACCTTCCCCGCCAACGGCACACTCTTCCTGGCCTACGAAGCCTGCCGCGGCCTGATGATGAGCCGCTTTGGCAACTGAGCGCGCCATACCTGCTGCTTCTTGATTGGCTGCCTGCCTGGCCTTCGTGCTCCGCCCCCTTGGACCTGGGTTCCAACTGAGCGCGCCATACCTGCTGCTTCTTGATTGGCTGCCTGCTTGGCCTTAGTGCTCCGCCCCCTTGGACCTGGGTTCCAACCTGCCGGCCATCCTGCTGATCCCCTGCCCACCCGCCCACATCTGGGTGTCCATCACCTCCACCCTGAACATTATTTAAGCCACCCTGTCTCAGAACGTGGCACTCGGAACATTCTGGAAACATGTCTGCCCACAGGAGGACTTTCATTTTGCAACTTCACTACCTCTTTGTGGAAGGGACGTCTGTGTGGATCAAGGGGTCTTCTGCAGAGGTTAGAATTTCTGGAAACATGGTTTGCAACCCAAACGATTTTTATTTAAACAGCAGGGTCAGCCCACAGCAAAACTGAGCAAAGTTCCTGTTTCATCTCATGAGCTTACTAGCTGGTAGTATTTATTCAGGGATATGTTTTATGGATGTGCATTAGTCAGTTTGAACTCACTCCAGTAATCCCCTACTTGAGCACTTTCATTTGGAAGAGTTGATGTCTAATGGCTTATAAATGAACTATAATTCTCACTGTAACAAGGTCAGACTCAGGACAGCTGTTTACATCTGAGCTAAGCAGCCCAGATCTCATCATCACACACCAGGTTCATCCATCTTCTGACCATTCATCCAGTACTGGGTGGTGGGGAGCCGATCCCAGGAAGTGCCGCCCATCAGAGGGACACCTGCAAACAGCACAGGCCGTGTAGATACACCAAGCCAGCTGACTGGGTGTCCTTAGGGTGTGGAAGGATGCTGGAGAACTTGGGAGGAACTCGCAGAATACAGGGAGCACAACGCTCACCCCACACAACCTGGGTAGAACATGCAAGCTCAACATGAGGAGAACACACAAACCCCAAACAACAGGTGGAGATCACGCAGACTCCCCACAACACGGGAAGAACATGCAAACTTCACACAACACTAGGAAACATACAATCTTCACACAACACGGGGAGAACATGCAAACTTCACACAACACTAGGAGAACACACTAACTCTACACAAGGAGAACTTGCAAAGCCCACTCAACACGAAGAGAATGCGCAAACTCAACACAACACAGGGAGGAGAGAAGGTTACCCACAGCTCTGTCCACTTCAGATTTTATTTAGCTCCTAAGGATGAAAGAGGATGTTCCTCCTCCACGTTCAAATAACCAACCCCTCACTTCCCAGGGTGACTGCTGTGAGAGACGCCTTTTGCTGATAACCAAAATTTATCAACACACATCCTAGCATTAGTATTCGTTTCAGTGTAAAATGGATTCTCATGAATGTGTTTCACCCTCCAATTCCTCCTTATTCTGCCATGGGGATTCGATTATTTACCCTTTTCTATCAGAATAAAGGTTACAGATTTTACAGGTGCTTTTCCCTCTTAATTTGTCATGTATAACATGCTTCAGATGTTAAACGTCTTTTAAAGTGATTCCTTTGGAGGGGGGTTAGGGTGAAGGCAGAACGTCTGTAAATGAGGGTTTCGAAATGACGAGCCGAGAGCAAGCCAACGATAAAACATGGTTTTATTCTGTAAACAAAAACAATGCATGAAACAACCATGACGCACGATGAGATCACACTAGGCTGAGAGCGAGGCGGAGGAATGGTGATGGATGGATGGATGGATGGATGGCATCGTTTCTGCTGCTGGGGGGGTGAGTTAGTTCTAATGTGAGAGCATGACATCATGGCAAAGAAAGCTGTGCAGATATTAGACCGCTGAAGCAGAAAGCCATTAACTCCATTCCAGTAACACCCTTAAGTGGAGGTTTACTGAAGAAACCAGGGAACTTCTCTGGTCCTGAGTGGACGCTATGGAGGAGGTACGTCCCACCGCAGAGCCAGGAGCTGAGGAGAGAAGATACAGGATCTCAGGGCGCGGATCATAGCCGGAGGGCCGGTTCCTCGCAAGCGCACAGCAATCCCCCACCACCATCCTCTCTGTGCACGGATTTCTGTTTCATTTTAATGGCTTTACACCCATCGCTGTTACACATCAGTATGATGTGAACTTCAGCCACATCTATACACTAGTCATTTTCCTTCCTGGCTTCCTGATACACATGGAGATCTTACACAGCTGTTTCAATGATAGATGTGGTCACTTCCAGCTGGGTTTGGCTTTTGCGCCGCTAGTTTGGGGGGGAAACCCTGCTGCCACAATACTCAGAATTCTCTCTCGGCGACACGTCGGAGCGCGTTTAGGAGCTTACGGATGCCTACGGGGCGCCTCACAGCACCCCTTTCCTCAGGCACGTCCCGAACAGGCACCCGAAAAGCCCGTTGACCATCTGGAAGCCGCAGAGCAGCAGCTCTAGGATGCTGGCCCCCAGGAGGATGGAGAAGAGCCCCAGGTTGAACTCCACCACGTTACTGGGCTCCCTGCACAAGCTCCAGAGATTCCTGTTGTTCAGGTAGCTGTCCTGCCTGGAGCGAAGGGAACAGCGAGAGAGGTGTGTGCTACAGCTTTACATTTATGTACTTATGTTGCTATAGAGACAGGTGATTTACGGGAGAAATTAAGGTTAGGTAATAAGGAGGCTATGTGTGTGCGTGCGAGTGCTAATGTGTCAGTGTAAGTGTGTAACTGAGTGAAAGGCTGTCACACATATTTTTCTTGTCTAGGCACCCTTGCCACCCCTCAACCAGACTCCGACCGTACCTGTCTTTGAAAGGCGTGCCCCACAGGATAAGTCCACGACAGGTGGGACCATTGACGATGCCGAGCACCGCCACGGTGAGACTGTAGAGGGCGCCAATCACCCCGACGGCGGCCAACGCGATGGACAGGAACATCTGCACGAAATGGGCGAGACGCCTTCAAAATGTCACGCATCAGCTATTAGGACGCAGCCGCGTGTGACGTGAGCGGGAGGGTCTGGTGGCGGCTGATTCAGCAAAAACACGGCAGGTCACTGGGGACAAGCAGGGTGGGGCTGAGCCCCGGCGGGAGCTTGCTCACCCCACAGCGATTGGCGAACAGCCCCATGGTTCCAGTGCTGTGGATGTGGATCGCTGGGATCAGCACCTGGAATTAACGGAGCGGCGGAAATGACTATGGATACGAAAACACAAAAACCACTCGCAGTCCTGTCTGTCTGGGCATCATCGGGCATGGACCCTGGGGACATGCCCCATCATTTATTTACTTTCTGCCACCGTTATTTTCAAATCTCTACAGAAAGTATTTTACTCCTCCCATAAGTGGCCAGTCTGAGTACCCTGCCCCCCCTCCCCCCCCACCTGAGAACGGGACTCACCAGGATGCCCCCTCCGACGAGACCCCCCATGTATTTCACTTCCTGGGTGATGCGGGGGCCGTAGCCATCTTTCTCCTCCGTCACATACTTGGTCTTCCCGTCGGGGAAGAAGAGGATAATGTTGCAGAGGATGGAGATGATGGCCAGGGGGATGAGCGCCCCCCCGATGCAGCGCGCACACTTCCCCGTGCACATGGTGGCAGGATCCGCTCGGCGGTCGGGCTCCGATCTTCCCCTGCGTTTCCACGCTCCGCTGTTCACTGCCAGTTAGGTTTCCCTGGATTTCCGAGCTCTACAGCCAGCGGTCCTACACCTCCTACAGACGGTCTGATCGTTTCTGTCGACTTCTACCACTGTCTGTGGCGGCGTATGAGGGTGAGAGGAGGGGAGGGGAGAGGAAGTGACACTCAGTTATTCAAGGGAGGGGCCCACATTCTGAAAACACAGAGAGCGACTTCAGTCCCGATGGTGGTAGAATGACTTGAAAATAAATGGGCAAACAGACCCGAATGTACGGCTCTGCTCCGTGCCAGCTATCCTGGGTCGTGTCGTCACTTGTGAGCCTCCACCCCTCTCTTCTTCCGTCTTCCTGGTAATCAGGAATGTGGCCGGCAAGCATTTCCAGCACAATGACACCCATTTAGATCCAATTAGCCTCAAAATGGGGCCTTTTCTCCGCATAATTGCTCCACGCTGGCCCTGAACTCCCCCGAGACGATCCGGTTATCCTTAATGAAATCTGGCATTGTCGGCAGGGCATGCCAAACGCGGTCAACACATGCCCGACGTCTGCTCCTGCGCTGCATGGCAAAACGCCAGCCTCCTACTATCGTTCCTCGTGGACTCTGCCTTACCCTTCTGCCTGCTCAGTCTGCTGTAAACGCCTTTGGGTTCTCACAAAGCACTTTATAAATGAAATGCACCATTATAATTATTAGTCCATACATCAGATAACGGTAGAGATCTGGGAGAGGCTGCATTCATCACAGAGGAATGTTTCTGCAGAAGTTTGCAGGCGCCCTGCCTCTGCCCCCCTCCCCCCTCCATTGCTGGCTCTTTGGCTTCCTGTTTGTACAGAATGTAATCTCCCATGATCACCTGACCAAGGAAACCATCAACCCCACCCCCGCTCCAAATGTCTATTGTGACACCGAGGCTGCCACCCACACAGGGAAACAGCCAATCAGAATTGTCATACCCCCACCACTGAACCACTGATTCATGGGGTCCAGTTGTGTAACATTCTGTGGATCACTGTGAGGTCTCAACGGATAAATAATTTTCCTAGTTTGGTCTTCGTATTTGACCTTAACAACAGCATGATCAGACATCCAGACCCTGGCAGGACATGGCCAACTGTAATGGTAGCATCCGTTTTCTTTATGGGTTTTGTATAATAAACACCAACAGGGGAAACTACAGCCAGCTTGGTCCATCCAAAAGGCTACTTTAACACAGTCCAGCATAAGCTACATTTCTTCACAGTCGCATCTCACATATATCCTAAACATATTCGTACAGACCAGTCCCCACAACCCAGGACACGGTTTGTAGAGGTTCTGCTTATTTGACGTGTGTTTTCTTTTAAAAAGAAAAAAAATGGGTTGTACTTTTCCCCTCTGCAGTCCCTCCACCAAGTGTTTGCATTCGTAAAAGCTGGGATCTGCTTTCGCAAGGACTTTTATCTATTCCGTTACACTCATATGTTTGTCCATATCTTGTTTGTAACATAAAGCAGGTCTTTCGGTGTCCGATCTCTCAGCTGCGACGTGTTCCAGTCTCCTAAATGGATGCAATGAAATCGTTCCTGTTGGCCTACTTTATCCCCGAGAAATGCTACGATGAGTTTTTCGTAAGGCTGCAACTGTTTCACGGTGAGGTATTTAGTGAGCAAGTCGGGGGAAAATCGCTCGAAATCACTGCAATACTAATGTATTAAACTATTTACGATAGCGCTTTTTTAACTTGCTTGAGTCTGGGAGAAAAACGCGTGTTTTCCAAACTGTGTGAGATATAAAGAGTGGAAACGATGGGAATTACGTATTATTTTTGTTACAACCTTTGCTTTAAACCCCCAACGGTACTGCATGCTCGTGCCCGTGTTCAGTAGTAAGGCTTACATTTATTATTTTGTAGCCTTGGATCAGGTTTAGGAAATCATTAACCGGTATCAGTCCCTGAACTTCCCGGGAGGGGGGCTGACCTTCGATTGATCTGTACGCACAGCTGGGCGGGGTTCCGATAGTGTTTTACGGCGCATTCCTTGGGAATTGGCCGGAGTCGGTCGCCTTTCCCGTTCCCCCTGTTTGAATGTCATTAACTTTACTGACAGCAGGTAATACGGTTTCTACAGGCCGCGAAACCAAAACTGTCGGTCTCCAAGGGAGTGCTGCTAATAACGTGGAATGTAAATATCCCGCGGAAAAAAGGATGTTACGTAGGTCGCTCTCAAAGGCGCTATTCACACAGATGATGGAAGTACACAGGGATGATCATTTGTAATTATTACATTTAATAAGGTGTCAATCATTTATTTCTATATAAATATTTATTGAATAGTATCATGCTTTTTATATGTAGTGCACTCAGAGAAAAGAGTACCAATTTGTACCTTTTTTGTTACTGGGGCTGATGTTTGAGGTATATGCCCGAGGTACAAACAACATTTATATACCCCCAATGGTACAAAAAAAACTTTTCTGTACCTTAAAATGTACAGTTACCTACAGCTAAGGGTACAATTTGGGGCTATACCATTAAGGGTATAGCCCCAGTAACATATAAGGTACAAATTGAAATTGGTACTCTCTTTTTTTTCTGAGACTGTGGCTAATCGACTGGGACATCTCAGTCCTGGTTTATTCACAGTGATTTACCTGAGAACATTTTTAATATAAAAATTAAATTATTTCATACTTATTTATGTAGTGCCTCATAGACTCACAAAAAAGTGTGTTTTCCTTGACAATATGGTGGCCATGCCTGGTCTCGGGGAACCTGGAGCGTAGTCGGTCGTGCAGAAGCCGACACAGTGTCTCCTTTGTCTCTGCAGTGCCGTGTCTGAGAATCGCCCTTCGGAAGACCCTGGGCATCTGGGTCATGCTCGGCTCTCTTACAGGTACACATCTCTCACTTGGACTGTCAATCATCCTTTTTCCCGCTCTTTTTGTGACACAGAGGGGACTGGCTGTGGGAAGCTTCTGACATACCTCTGAGAAATGCATACAGGGTGTCTTTTATCCGGCCTTGACGGCGGTATAAACTGTTCCCTCCTTGTATCGGGATTAAACGTGATCAATGTGAAATGTAGCCCGATGCGTAATTTTCCTGCCGTCTCATGTTAATCTCAACCTGCCCTCTCGTTTGCCATTCTTACTTGCCTCGCAGCAAAACTGCCCCAAATGTTCAAGGTTGTGGGGGCAAAAAGCAGCGAGGGCCTGAGTCTGCCATCTTCCCTGGTGGAGCTGTATGCCGCAGCGGGCACCGTGGCCGTCCAAATTGGCCGAAACTTCCCCCTCGAGTGAGACACCAGCTTCACTGACACAGCAAGACTGGGGGGCGGGGGTTTCATGTGCAATTACACCCTGCTGTCTGTGCCAAATCCAGCCGTTTAACATTTTACTTCATTTTTATAATGCTTGGGGAAATGAGAGCTGGGGATCTCTTTCAGAGGAATTCCATACAGCAGCTTATCGCTCAAAAGGAGTTTTACAGCCCTCAGAGTCAGGATTTGATTGCACATTTGTCTTTTGATCTGTTCAGCTAATCTGTATCACCTAGTCCTGTCAGCCTTTGAAATCATCGTAAGCCGAATGTAGCTTCTGCTCCCTGCGGAAGTCACGACACATTAACCTTTTGTGGTCAATAGGTGGACAAACATATCTGTTAGCCCATTACACGATAATACTTTTCCCCATCAGATTGTTTTTGGTTGTCTTCACCGTAAAATGCTTTCCTTTACATATTCTATGTTGTATGTTGGACAGCGCTTGGGGTGACAGTCTCTTCATCCTTGTCCAGATGGTGGTCATCACCTTTCTCATTCTCCACTACAGAGGGCACACAGTCAGAGGTAATACCTCCCCTTTCCTCAGTGTTTCCTTCTTTCCTCTCTCTTTCCTTGGTATTCCCTTCCTCAGTGTTCCCTTCCTTCCACTCGCTTTCCTCAGTGTTTCCTTCTTTCCTCTCTTTCCTTGGTATTCCCTTCCTCAGTGTTCCCTTCCTTCCACTCGCTTTCCTCAGTGTTCCCTTCCTTTCCCTTTCTCTGTGTTCTCTTCCTTCTCCCCTTCCTTGATGTTCCCTTCCTCTGCCTTTCCTCAGTGCTCCCTTTCTTCCCTTCTCCTTCCACTCCCCTTCCTCAATATTCCCTTTCTTCCTCTCCCCTTCCTCAGCGTTCCCTTCCTTCCCCTTCTGCTCCTCAGTGTTCTCTTCCTTCCCCTCCCATTCCTGTGTTCCCCTCCATCCTCTCTCCATCCTTTGTGTTCCCTTCCCTCCTGTGTTCTCTTCCTGTGAACTCGTGTGCATTTCTTTGATCACCTTCTTTGTGGTTACTGTAGGCTTGGCGTTCCTGCTCCTCTGCTGCTGCCTTCTTTGTGTCCTGCTTTTCTGCACACTCCCCAGGCTGGTGCTAACAGCGGTCCAGGTGTCCATTGCTCCCACCGTCATTGTATCCCGGGTACGTAACTGCCAGGGTCTGACGGCATGAGTGACAGTGTGATCCATGTAATGATCTAATGGATCTCACTGGCTTTGTGTGCTCAGCTCCTGCAGGCGTGGACCTGCTTCCAGATTGGCCACACGGGGCAGCTCTCTGCTCTCTCCATCTTCCTGCGGTTTGCCGGCTCCCAGGCCCAGCTCATCTCCTCCGCCCTGGTGCGTGGAATGCTGCCAGGTACTTTTCCATGACGCCTAAGCCCCTACTGACGCGCCCACCTTTATCCCACCACAGGAGATGGGAGAGCTGACGAAGATCCTGCCCTACGTGATCATCTACTGCTCCGATGGTCTCCTGGCAGCTCAGATGTTGTGCTACTGGGGCCGTGGGCCAGGTCTGAAGAAGAAGGTGGAGTAGCTGAGAGCACAACTGTGTCTTCACAGACAGCATCCAGAACTTCTTCAAGGATCTGCTCTGTACTGTGAGGGACATCACCCCAAGCATGCAGCTTTACCTGTTTCCTCTGAGGAGAACGACCCCCTCCATCCACTCTTCCTCTTTTCTGCTCCTCACCAACTCAACCTTGACCATGAGGAATTCAGTAATGTGAGACATGTTGAGTGTCTTTCTGCAGGACTGGGCCATTCTAACCCCCTCTCCCCTCATTTAATGATGAAATGTTTTACCCCGTCTCATCCAGAGGCTGTTTTGTGTTAATGCCAAAATAGTATTTGTTTGGGAGTCACCACATATTTGATCTTGAGTCATGCTGGGAGTCACCACTTACTTGAGACTGAGTCACGTTGGGAGTCACTCCAGCACCATATTTGATTCATGCAAGGAGTTATTAAGCTGCCAGTTGCTCAGCTGATGTAATATTGGTGGTACCTGAGGCTCTTTTCCCCCCACGGAGAGCAGCCCGCCCACTTATCAGAGTTCCCTCAGCGATGCAACGAAAGCAATGAAATGAGGCAATGATAATGCCCCCGTCTCCTGTGATTGGTATATTCCGTTCATCCGTGCTACTCACAGGCCTCAGAAACAGTTATTTTAACAGGAACCGTAGAGCAGCCCTTTCTCTGAGTTCTCATGTATATCCTGCTTATTGATGCTTCATATTTAGTCATCTTCATACCAGGTAATGCAGAAAAGAAGATGGCCACCAGGGGGCATTATCATCGTCAAACTGGTCTTGCAACTACAAGTTTTTCAGCAACTACCAGAGAAAACGCCTTTCTAGTGTACTTTGGATAAAAACCTACTGTAAGCGTCTGGCCTCTTAATCGACTTTGATCAAGATGCCTGTAGTCTCACAGATGGTGAATTTGGAGCCAAGATGCAATTCGTGTTATCACCAAAAGATGGAAGCCAAGCTCACTTAAAGCTGTGGTTCTCGCGCTTGGCTGCAGCGCCGCCTTGTGTACGCCTTTGTGGTTTCATCTGTTCCAATACGACTGATTTGGTGACCAACACACGGCCGGAGAGAGAACTTTTGTTTTCAACACAACTGAAAGATTATAGCGAATAGCGTAATTGTAATTGTGCAATTCGCTCAACAATTGGTAATTTATTATGAGCTAAATTAGATATGGATATTAAAAACTGCGTGGTTCTAAACCCCTAATACCACAGAATGAAACGTTTTCCTTTTGTTGTTAACTAACACAGTGAGTGAGTTGGGTGCTTTTTTGTTCTCCCTGTACCTCTGCAAAGTGTCGAACTCATTCTGTTTCAGATTCATTCTCTAAGCTTCCCTTCCCCCTCTCCTATAAATCATTTTTACGGACTGTGCCCCTACATTTACCCTTTCTGCGGACCCTCCTCCTTTCCCCTCTCTTTATTGGCAGGAAAGCGGTGGCACGCCACCCCGCCCCGCTGATTCTTCCCCAGGATCCCTGTCTCCCATGACAACCCGCTGCTTCAACCCGCACACTTGCATGTTTCCCATACATATTAAACTATGTCTTCCTTCATTGTTGCGTTCGGCACTCTGCACATCTCGGTTTATGAAAACATTTCACCATTTCGTTGTTATTTAGGCTACTTGGAAGACGCTTTCTGTCAACCACAAGTCGTATGCTGGACTTTCGTATTACAGCCCGATGTTTTTATAGAAGCAGTAAATAGGCCTACACCATCAGGTTCCTGGGGGACTTGAACCGATTTAAGCATGAACGTCATTAGTATCTTTAGAATCAAGTGAGATGTTAACAGTATGAGACAAACATATATTTTAATAATTAAGACTTGATATTTCGGCTCGGACTCTTCCTAACAGCAGAGGTGTTAAGTTCAGGTCCAGAAAGTACAAATCCAGACCAAGGTTTTGTTTCAGCCAATCAGTTCAGTACTCTGTGACTCTTATTACTCAGCTGGTTGGTTGAAACAAAACCTGGTCTGGATTTGTACTTCCCACCTCCGTCTAACAGAATAGAATTCGGTGATCAGTGGTCATTAACATACCACAGCACACAACAACAACAACGACGAAATGTGTTATCTGCATTTAACTCATATGTGACATTCAGCGCCCGGGACAGTATCTTGCTCAAGGTACCTCAGTGGTGCCGTACTGATCAGGGATTCGAACCTGAAATCTTTTAATTACAAGTGCACTTCCCTAACCATTAAGCCACCACTGCCCATCACTACCCAGATAGTCAGCCCCAACGCAGGATGCTCTTCTGGTGCAATCTGCCCCTATAGAAGCATCCCGAGCAAATTCCAGCACATTTCGTAATCGCTATCTGTCTGGCAATCTCTGGGCACCCACTTTCCGTCCCCTTCTTCTGGCACACTTAACGCTGTCGCCGTGAAGGACGCGAACCATGCGCACCACGCCCCCGCGGACATACACAAGTGACGTCACCGTGTCGCTGCGGAGGCGGGTCACGCATGCCTCACACGCAAACACCTTAAATAACTCATGTGCCGTGGTCGGTTTTCAAGGGTGCGTCCGAAATTGGGGTAATTATATATGATCAACTAGGGCAAGGTTTCTTAATCCTAATCATGGCAACCCACTTTGTGCACGTTATTTACCTTCCAGCTTCTTACCCTCGAGTAAACTGCTGCGTGGTTGAGTGACGGGATTCAAACGACGAAGTGGTTTAAAAGGAGGATTTCCCTGTCATCTTAAATCGTTCTTGGCCCAATATAATCGCGTAAACGCTCAACACATCTAAATTACCCTAAATATTATTTAATGACTTATTTAATGAAAAAAGCAGCTGTAACGTATAAGAATTTACCACTGATTCGTTGAAATTGCAATCTTTCTTTTAAGCAAAAATGTTAGACCTCGCTCTTACACGGAAGCTTTTCGTCGGACAGACTTGTAGAAGTTTATTAAACTAAGGCAAATTTGTATTTCACATTTGTATAACGTGTGTATAAGACAGCCGAGCCTCGTCCAGAGGGCAATGTATGACAGCGACCGATATTATACCCTCACATTAACAAGTACAAAACCAGTAGTAGTCTTGCATTCTTCTGATCTTGATACAAGAAACAAACATCTTGGCAGGAATGCGAAATACTTAGGCCTACAGTTTTAATAAAGAACAACTGAAATCTGTATTAAAATCTCCTGCTCCACCCGACTACCCGTCCACGTTATCAACTCATCACCCGGTTTACATGCCGGGGTCCTTAACCGTCCTACGAGTTGTCTGTCTGTCATGAAGGGCGTTTTTTTTAAAAGGCAGCCCATGCTTAAATGACCTTTACCGGGAACTGCGATGGTGACAGATTTGTTTGCAGGCTGTATTGCTTAAACGCACCACGGCCGCCCGACGGCAAGATTAGACCGCGACTTCACAGCAGATACGAATGGCTTTCCACGAACCCAGAGCAGCCCCTGGAAACTGACGAGCCGGGGATCGACCTCCTCACATCGGCACCCTATACCCCTAAAACAGGATTCAGGAGGAAACACGCAATAAAAATCCAGCAGCCTGGAAAATCTTCACCGGCCAGCAGTCCCGGGTACCTACGCCAGCTTTGCCCCAAGCTCAGAATAACTCCCAAAGCTGTGCTGCCTGCCTCTATTCTATGGCTCATAATTAATTAGGGATAATTAATTGACTGATTTGGGACAAGACACAAAAAGCAATAGTTTGTCATTCTTTGTAGATGTGCTTGCACTAATATAAAGTGATTTTGATTCATCATCGTGTTCCTTAAAGGATGCAGTTAAACAAATATTATGAAATCTAATTATTCTATAGTTCTTGGGCTGAGGGCCTATTTTTTTCCTGTGAACAAAACATGCTTCATTAAACAAATAACATTAAATTAAGTGCAAAGTATTAGTATCGCGGGAAACCATGAATGGGATTGCTGGAATTGGGTTACCCCAACTGGGGGCCAGTCTGACAGGCCAGCCCTAGCTGGTTTTCTCCTCGTCAGTTTTATATAAATAGGGACAACTTTTGATTATGGGCAAAATCTATTCCCTATAATTCTTTTCTATAACTAAAAACAGGGTTTCTGATCCAGTCCATTTCGAGGGCAATTCTGCTGTACCCTTAAAGCAGGCAGATGTATCAGACAGCTGAGGATTCTCGCGATAAGATGCACCAGGCAGACTGAAATCTTCTGGAAGTATGACGAGTAAGTAAACAGCTGATTTCGACCTTAGAGTGGCATATACTTTATTAAGCTGCATAATGAAAGGGTCCGAGGAGTTGCAGTTGTACCCTAGAGTAACTAGGATTATAAATATTACTCCCAAACCAGGCAGGCACGCTTAGGATATGAGTGCAGTGCCTTCTCTTCCTTTCTGCACCGGTTCCCACTGGGATCTGTATCCTTCCTGTAGGTGGCGTTATCTTAAACCTGAAGCAGAGTTAGCCAGTGTCTGTAATGGCCTGTGGTGTTCGCCCTGCGATGGACTGACATCCCACCAGGAGTGTTTCCCGGCCCCTGGGACACGCTCCAGATGACCCCGGTGAGGATAAGCGCCCATGTTATCCACGCTGTAAATTTATCCACCCCGTTAAGTTAGAGGTGTTAGCCTAGCTGCTCCTGCCGACTTCCGGCGTGTCCGTTTGTCAACGTTAGCGCCCAACGCCAGCATAGAGGCCCCCGCTCACCATCACGTGACGCAGAGACGCAGGAGAGGCACGGCCACGACGCTGACGCCTGGATTGTGAAAGCGGCGGAGCTCGTAGGCTGCCGCGTGACGGCCGTGGAGGCGCGGTGGGCGGGCGGCGTCCTCCTTGCCCACGTCAGTGCTGCCGGCGTCTCGCTCTCTCACGCTCTGCCAGAAACGCACTCTCCTCACCCCAACGCCCACGGGCTGCTTTCTAACCGACTGTCAGGCACTGGCGCGTGTTTCCCTGTCATTTGTCAGGCTCTCCAACAACTCTCTACACGCGTGCCCCCCACCCCCCAGCTTCACAGTGGTAGCCAGCACCTGTCTCACTGACTCCTCTGACACAGATCTGGGATACCAGTGCCTGTGTTTACGATGTGCCCCAACCTCCCCCCCCACACACACCCCTGCAATGCTTCCCCCCATCTCCTGTCCTCCGATTAGCCTGCGCTGACTGCCCCATTTCCATGAGAATAGGGGTGAGCGGCTGAAGGGGGTTAAGCCCCGGCCAGAGTGGGAGGGGGCACAGCGACCCCTGAATGCAATGCTAATTTTCCGCTTGGTGGGGGGGCGTGATAAAGGGGAACAAAGCAGCCCCCGGGGGGAGGGGCCCGCCAGCCTGCACCTGTGAGCTGAAAGCCAGCAGACAATGCACCTCCCAAACAACCAGTTATTGCGGCTCACAGGACACCTACGCGCCCCCCCCCCACTCCGACATGTGGGTACAGCCTGTACCACCGCTCCCAGAAACCTGTTGCTTCATTTTGTGTGTGGGAAGAAGGAAAACAAAAAATATTTCAGAAATTAGAAAATGTGCTCAGAAATTTAAGCTATTAGTATCATTCACTGCATTTTGCTGGTTTTGAAAGTGACATGAGGGCTGTTCACTGCATTTCTCTGGGTTCAAATGTGACACAAGGACCATTCACTATGTTTCACTAGGTTCAGATGTAACCTGAGTGCCGTTCACTGTGTTTCACTGGGCTTGAATGTAACCCAAGTGCCCATTTATGGTTTCTCTGACTTCGAATGTCACCCAAGGGCCATTCACTGCATTTCAGTGGGCTTGAATGTGACCCGAGGGCTGTTCACTGCATTTCACTGGGTTTGAATGTGACCCAAGGGCCATTCACTGTGTTTGAGTTCGAGTTGGCCCAGGGACCATTCATCATGTTTCTCTGGGTTTCCTGTGACAGGTTCCCCTTCCCCCATCTCCATCAGTGAAGCAACCACTCTCCATTTTTGTAATAAAACGCTATTAATCTTTCTTGTAAAATAACACAACATGGCACGCCATTTTTAAAAGCTCCACCGTAAACAGTTATTGTTTTTTTATTATTTCAAATACATTTCACAGTATTCAGTCCATTTTTGACATTTGGTAACATTTTAAACAAGTTAACAAAACAACATTAATTTGGGGAAAGCAGTGCTTTGGGTAATGGGGACTGATGACGATCTGACTGACAAGCCTGTCAGGCAGAACGAAGAAAATGGAAACTATTTCACACATTTAACACGTTTCACCTGAATCGCTGTCAGTGAATTCATGACATTTCTCTAAACAAATGTTTTTGGGTTCATTCTCTCCTGAAGTACTGTCTAATCATCCCTTCCTGTGTTTTTTCATTGCCTTAAGCGCACTTGCAGGATTTAAAAACATTACAATGTGACGGTTCATCCGAAGGCCAAAGAAACTAACCTTCAGCCTGTAATATATCCCAGTAGGAAACGGGTGATATTTTCAAAGGTTGTCATCTTGGCTTAAACACAGCAGATTAATGACATCTCGACATGACATCATCATCATCCCATGACATCATCAGTGAGGTTAGCTACAGCGTCGGGGGGGGGGGAGAAGATCGAAAGCGGACTCATGAAAAAGCACTTGTACATTCAGTGATTTGGTCGACCCTTATCCCCCCAACAGCAACTCCGCAACTTAACCCATTTACACAGAAGTTCAAAGTCGAGCACCAAAATCAAAGGTTTCAACAGCAGGGTCAGAAATGGCACCTTGTTGGCTGAACCACTTCGCCACCTGCTGAACCATTGCACCAGGGGTGTGGACGTTCCTGAACAGACACCCCATCCGAGGCTTCCTTGGAGTCCGTAACAGCAACAAGGAGAAGATCACAGGGAAGTCCAAGCCCAGTTTAAGCGGGGTGGGGCGGGGGTCCGAGCAGTCTCCAGCAAATGGGCATCAGATGTGGGTGAGGGGCATGTTTCCCCCGAGATAGTGCTGGTGCATGCTGGGATAGCCTCTTTGGGCCGTGGGGTCATGCCCATCAGCCCCTGGCATGTACATGCTGATCATGTCCCTTAGGTCCCCCTGGGGGGTGCCGTGAGGCTGGGAAGGGGCCCCGCCAGGGGAGAGCGACGGCGGCTCCGTCTTCGCCATGGAAATCAGCTGACTGGGCTGCTGGGGGCTGGTGCCATAGGGCAGATTGCTGGGAAGGAAGAGACAGAGAGGGAGGGTTAGGGTATGGTGGCTAGGGGGGGGGGAATGGATGCTTGGATACACAGGCTGAGCAGCTGTTACAATGCAAACAGACACGGGGAAGGGTTCGAAAGATCCACCCGCGGGGAGGATCTCAGCCAAAGCCCGGCTCATGGGCGCACTGGACTCACACGGGGGATGCATACAGAACAGCAGAATTTACAAGTTAGAAACAGCAGACTGAGACTCTGGACTTTTTAGCACAGAGAAAGATGAATTGACGCCGGTCCATTCAGGGATAATTACCGCTAAACCTTCTAAACACACGTCAAACAATCTCCTCTGTAAGTTTTTATCCAGTTACCCAAAACGTGGAGAGATACCGGACCGGCAACCAGACACGACCTTGATGCGTTTTCCTTATATGCCTCGGAATAAGTTTAACGGTGGATAATTTAAGTGTATTTAGAGCCTTAATTGATTCAGTGTCTGAATTGTATGTCATTTGAATTTTTGGTTCATACAAATAATGAAATAATACAGACAATGATTGAGCCACAAACTAAAATATTTTCGTTGTGGTGAATATAATAAAATTGCATTTGTTTAATTGCATACCTTCAAGGCTAAAATAAAATGAAAAATACGCCATATTTTTTTTCATTTATTTGCAGCACCATAGAGAAACTATCAGACGAATCAGATAAGAAATTAAAATATACTAAAAATATATCATTCTCCCGTGCGCTGTATTGACGCCGGCTGCTCACCTGTAAGAGCTGGCGCCATTCATGTATGTCTGCGGGGTGGCCAGACTCGGGGGGTATTGCAGGGCCGACAGGTCGTAGCGCTGTAGCTGCTGGGGATACCCGACCGAGTCGCTCTGGAGAGCGGAGTAGCCTCCGGAGGACCCCCAGCCGTAACTCTCCAAAACGGTCTCAGCTCCCTGGCCGCTCGTCGCTGCCAGCAGGTTACCGGCGGAGAGCGGGAGAGCCCCGACCGGGCTGTCCTTCTTCAGCAGCGGCTTGGTCTTGCGGCGGGGCTTGTACTTGTAGTCCGGATACTCTTTCATATGCAGGGCGCGGAGCCGCTTCGCCTCGTCTATGAAGGGCCGCTTCTCGCTCTCCTCTAGCAGTTTCCACTCCGCTCCCAGGCGCTTGCTGATCTCCGAGTTGTGCATTTTGGGATTCTCCTGCGCCATCTTCCGCCTCTGACCCCGCGACCACACCATGAAGGCGTTCATGGGCCGCTTGACCTTGTCCATCGGGTCGCTGGTCGGGCACTGCTTGGCCAATGAGCGGTTGGCCCCGTGGCCGGCGCAGGTCCCGCCGGACATGTCCGTGCCAGGCTCGGTGGAGGCACCCAGCGCCTGTAATTCGTGCTCCATCATACTGAACATATCTGATAGTTAAAAAATAAACCAAAAACACAAACGAAAAGGCGGCAACGACGTATGGTTCGCCTATAAAATCAAATTTAAACCCTTTCAAGTAAAATTATTTATTTCAGAACTGCACATAAATGATAAACCAACAGACCCGCAATTATCTATGCATAACTATTTTGCCACCGCAAAACAATTTTTCAAAATCACTCAGAACAAAAAAAATGGTCTCATCAAGATAAAAAACGAGGTTGCTATGCAAGTCTGTAAACAAGGCTTCACTTGACATTAATACACCATTTCTGAGATTCTTGCGTTGGGTCCCAGTGCGGGGTGCAGCGCCCTGTTCACACAGCGGACTGGTTCCCTCCTCATTCTTGCTGTGGTTTATAGTGAAAGTTGCGCTCTGTACCAACCAGCCCGCCCTGGACTGCCTTCTTTACCCCCGCACATTTGCATCACTAAAGTCGGGGCGCGGTGAATTTATAAAGCGCTTGAGCGCAACAGAAGCGATGGGGGGGGAGGGGGGAATAAAGACACAAAAGTAACAACTGGAGTCTTTGTAGTCCCGCTCTGGAAAAGTTTGTGTGTAAATACGCTTAAGTAATCAGAACGATCCCAACCAAATATCAAACGATAGACCGAACTAAATAAAAGCAGTGACTTAAAATTCATCATCATTCTTTAATATGATTGTTTTGGTCAGTTTTGAAAATCATATTAATCTAGATTAGGCCTACATTTAAAATGTGTTTAATTTTCAACTTTAGACAGAATAATATGAAGTCCGCAGAGATTAAATTACATTGATATAGATTAGATTATATTTAAATGCAAGGGAAATGCAAGGGCTTCAAAATCCACCCTCATCGGTGACTACGGTATAATTAGGCAGCGTGCATTGGAATATTACATTTAAAAATATTGGTTCAAATCAAGAGTCCTTGCCCGGCACAATAAACGACATTGTAACGCTTTTTCCCGCCACATTTTATGTACAGTGCGTGTGTCTATTGTTGTTTATTGGGGGTTTGCTTTTGAAACAGTATTGCAACTTATTTGAACAGAAGCTAAACACAAGTATGTAAAAACAGGTGGTAGGCACGGCTAAATGTAGTTTGCCCTGAGAGGGAGGACACGCTGTCGCACCTGCTCCGTGTCTCACTCATTTACACCCGGAGCAGGTGGAGTAAAGCGGCTCTCGCCTGATCCCTAGTCAAGCAAGAAATGTTAGTTTCTATGACCAACACTTAGCACTTACAAGGCGAGCGACATACGCCCCACGAGGGCAGATGACGCGGATAAGCACAATGAACCAAAACCAGTTTCGTTACCGGTACCGAATACAGCATCAGCGCCTCGGAGATTCTCTCCAAAGAGCTCAAACAAGTCCTCTGACCTTACAGTTAACCCAATTTCTATATGATCTGCATGTTTTTGTCAAGGCCTACACTGATTTTTTATTTATGTTCCTCTGAAATCTTACCCAGAACACACAAACTGATATTTTCAAATGCTTCAACGACGAATACTAGCGGTATAATATTGATGTTGCCGGTGTTACACTAAGTGCTGTAATGTCTGAATCTTGGGAGTTATGAACTGTAGTGTTTTGTCTAGTTGGCGATGGATGCACGGTCCGTTTCCCCGTTTTCGGAGGGTGCATATAAGGTGCAAGTGTGCGACTGATAACTAGACCCCGAATTGTGCGCCTCCACTCTCCCGTTGCCGTTTCCAAGACGACCCTCCCCAGAATGCCTTTCAGGCGACCCCCCACTTCAACACCCTCCTTCGATGCGCTCAGCTCTTTTCGGAGTTTAGCAAAACCATTCAAAACAGCATAACAAACACATATGGTGCATGCGAGTTAAAATCTTTCGAGCCGTACGGGAAATTACACCAATTCTCTAGATCAATTCATGTATTTGTCTGGTGTCATTCAACTATTCGTGGTGTCCATTTACATTTGGACAACTGCCCTGCCTGTTACTATCAAATACATCAGCTGTGTTAATATGTGCTAGTTACCAAAGCAGCGAAGGGTGTTGACAGATTTATACCGTTGGACCACAAATAATAAGGTGCAGAAACAGAATTATGATTACCCCATCTCTGATTCTACATTTAAGTGAATGATGACTAATTGTTAAAATTTCATAATCACAGAAATCGAATCACAACATTAAAAAACTAATGGAGCAGAGCTTTGCTTAGTGAGTTGAAATCCTTTGCAGACATTAAGAAACGACAACGCGGTGAAAACACAAGTGGTTCGTGTAGAAAGTCCCGACATCCCGGCGAAATGACTGAATACCTGAGTCGCCTTTGGAATCCCTACTGTTCTTCAAAGGTGAATAGCCCTAACAGTAGCCCCATCATCCGTCACGGGCCGGGAGGGGAAAAAGGACTGGCAGCTCTTTTACCAGAACTCCCACTTGTGTACAACCCCCTCCCCCCGCCCCCGCACCCGCACACAATCGGGTGAGCAAGTGCATCGCGGGGGTGGTTTGGTACCACTGCGGAGATCATGGTGTGGGGGAATTCGGACGGAAGATACTATACCGGAAAATCCAGAAGAAAATTAATTGGCTGCAATACATGAATGTAGACAGCCGGTCATGGGTGGTAACTGACCGACTAAAATTCACTGGCATCATTCCGAGCCTTCTTCGAGACAGGAGCAGAGATGGATGAGTTTTGGAGGAGAACGCGAGGAGGTTCACTTAATTTGAGCGGGTGAGCTAAAGACACCCAACCGGCTTCAAGGCCCAGAGTACTAGGCTACAATAAAAACTCACAGTAGCCTCCATGCAGAATTGTCAGCTTGTTTGGAATTGATTTTTGGACAGTTAGTCTATTTACAGCTCAGAAATAACAGATTCACAATAATTAAAAGCAGTTGATGAAAACAATTACTTTTTATTGCTTGCTAAACTGACTTTGGTAATAGTTTTCAAAACAAGCTGATGTACTCTTCTACAAAGAAAAAGCGCTCTTCACGGTACCGGAGGTCACATTTGGCTGAGACAGAAATGCATCGCCCTCTGGCGGATGAGTGACCAAACCGCCCGGGTCAGGCTCATCTAACGAGAAAATTTGAATAGTTCTTACAAATTGTCATTTTGAAACTTTTTAGGAGTCAGCATTGCAGCTGGGCACTTACTGTGGGACCATTTAAGAAATCCGCGAAGAATCATTACATTTGAAAAGATACGTAATCTATCCGTTCCCCCATTATCTGTAACCGCTTGTCTCATGCAGGGTCGCGGGGATCCGGGTCCTATGCGAGAAGCAACGGGCGCAGGGTAGGGAATGAACCAGCAGGGGGCGACAACCCATCGCAGGATACATAATTTCATGACAAAATTAACTGAAGTGGCTCTTAAATCTGTTAAGCCCAAGGGTTAAATCACTTTTATATGATTAAAGCAGCCATATGTATTTTGAAGAGGCCAGTATAAGGGTTAATATTCAGACCTGTGCTTTGACACTGGCAGGAGGAGGGGGGGGATAATAATTACCACAGGACACTTAACATCAGTTAACAGTTTAAAAAGACTACAAGACTGCAATTTTATTTCAGACCAAATAAATACTACACAGAATCCAATGTAGAAAAAGGCATTTACATGGCTTCTGTTCTCTAAACAATCCATCAATTATAGAAGCATTGAAGGCTTGACTGTGCGCCCCCCCCTTGTGTACAGGTGTGGGAGTCGCCATGGGTTGATCACATGGAAGCTCACCATCCGCAGTAATGTCTGTATAACTCCATTCCCACCCCACTTTCCACAAAACAAACATTGAGGTAGGTTACAAGGCACCCCAGTTCCGCAGCATGCGGTCATCACAGCGGTTTCTTGGCCCTAAAATTTCTAGCCACTCCAAGCCAATAAAACTCAACTGTTACTCTGACTACAGAGGACCAGGCCTGTGCCTGAACAGACTGGTAAAACTAAACCAGAACCATTAAAAAAAAAATCTGCTGTAAATATATGAAGCTGTCCATATGGGCCTGTTCGACATGCACCAAGTAACACCCAAACCACTCACATCCCTGAAACACAATGAGGCTTAGAAGAGCCAGAGGCAAACACCATTTGTGAAGGACATTGCTGACCATTACACGGCTCATCTCTGCCCAGCAAGGACAAAAACACTACATTTGGAATCATCTCATCTGTGGCGATTCTGCCTGGACCACAGTCAATGCTGCAGAAACTATGAACAAACATCTTTCAAGAACTTCATAAATCAGCTGACATTTTGGCTAGTGGTTCAAATTGCAGCTGGGGGGGGGGTAATTCAGAAACACTGAAACTGGAGGGGTATCCAAATATCCAAGTGAGCAAAGCAGGACCGGTCCAGTCTGATAAGTTGCCAATCTGATTAAAACTGCTAGACATCAATGAGGTGATGAGAGGTACAAGACCCCCGTCCCCGATAAAGAGACAGGTCAGGCATAGTCCATCATCATTTAAGAGCACAGTTTATATGGAACTGGGGGGGAACCGGAGGACCTTAGATGAGGTCAGCCACATTCATGGGCATCTCCTCCACGGTGGTGTTGTAGAACGTCTCGATGTCTCGCAGGGTCCGCTTGTCTTCCTCCGTCACCATGTTGATGGCAACTCCTTTTCTGCCGAAACGGCCGCCGCGCCCAATCCTGGGGAGGACGAAACGGACCATGACCACGCAGTCTCCCGAAAGCCACCATTTTTCCCCCAAAACCCCTAATTCAGTGCAAGAGCTCCAGGGCCCGTGTGAGAGCCTCAAGAACCTGAACTCCACCCACCCAAAGCTCTATAGAATCCACCTACCTGTGGATGTAGTTCTCACGGTTGGTCGGCAGGTCGTAGTTGATCACCAGAGACACCTGCTGCACATCAATACCTCTCGCCTGTAGAGGGAACCAGAGTCACTATAGAACTATAACATCTCTATGGTCACCAGCATCATGCAGTTCCAGTAGATGTTGGCTGTTATGAAGTAGTCGGTTGGGACTGTAACCCCAGCCACTGTGGAGAACAGCTTCATTCATCTGCCAAAGGTCATATCTCCTACCACAGCACGGGGATGAAGCTGTGAGACCAGAGAAACTTTGGCCCAAACAACATATATCCTGAGCTCGTGAGGCTAAAAGTTACTGAAGCATCTTAAGGCTGAGGAGCACCTCATAGGAGCACCTCACAGGAGCACCTCACAAGCCAAGCTGAACACAAACTCACCAGCAAGTCAGTGGTGATGAGGACCCTGCTGGACCCCGAGCGAAACTCCCTCATGATCAGATCGCGCTCCTTCTGGTCCATGTCTCCATGCTGACGACGCAAGAACGACATGCAGCGATTACAGACTTGCACATCACAAGCGAGTATCCCGACAAGGAAACCACAGAGAGTCCCTGTAAGGCGGTCTGCGATTCAATCCAGGAACCGTCAGTCGACATCTCAAATTCCACAAGAGCTGACTGGAGCTACAAGCCTAAACCCATAACACGCCTCCAATAATGCACACTGCAGAGATCTGTCCATACAGCGATTAAACCAACGACCATAAGCCTGCAATCACAAAGGATACCAGTGCGGTGACTCACCAGGGCAGAGACGGTGAAATCCCTGGCGTGCATCTTCTCGGTGAGCCAGTCCACCTTGCGGCGCGTGTTGATGAAGATGACGGCCTGGGTGATGGTTAGGGTCTCGTACAGGTCACACAGGGTGTCCAGCTTCCACTCCTGACAAACGGGTGAAGGGAGAAACCTTACACCTACTAGCAGAAAGACCCCAAGAGGTATTCCTGTCACCAGCCCCCCCCCCCATCCCAACCACAGTAAAATTTAAGACCCATTTAAACATAAAGGGCTCAGACACCAAGCAGCCTTCTACAAAGGCAGCAGCTGCAGGTTTTAGAGGTGGTTTGTCGGCTGTTAAATAGTAGTGGATCAAGGATGGGAGCCCAGCCACTGTGGAGAACAGCGCCCCCCATCTGCCAAAGCCTATATTTCCTACCACAGCACCAGGGTTGAGCTGCTAGGTCAGGGAGCTTTGGGCCAAACAACATTTCATATTCCCTCATCAGGATAGGAAACCATCACAGCAGACTGAATAAGACGCTCCCAAGCACAGGCACGGGGACGGGGGCGGGGGGAAGCCATCAGCCCCTACCTCTTTCTCCACATTGATGTAGAACTGCCGGATGCCCTCCAGGGTCAGCTCCTCCTTCTTGACCAGGATGCGAATGGGCTCCCTCATGAACTTCTTTGTGACCTCCAGCACATCCTGGGGCATAGTGGCAGACAACAGCACCACCTGGTGGAGCAGGGAAGAACCGCAGGGTAGAACCGCTTTAGACAAATTCAACAGAAAACATCTGGAACAAATGGATGCCAGCTAGACATGCCGTGGTGCATTTGAAGCATATCCTGAGAGCAGCCGTCCAAGTCCAGCCTGGCCAGTAGGTAAGGCTCACTTGCAGAGTATCTATCCATTGAGACACGGCTTTTTTAGGCAGCGAACGCATGCTGTTAATGTGAATACAGATACAGTGCAGCCATTTTATTTTATTCATTTTTATTTTTTTAAATACTGCACCATAATGGATATTTATTTCGTTACGCTTTGTTTTTCTTGAGATATTTGTGTTACACAGTACTAGTATGAACACACACGCGACATTACATCACTAAACACTGTAGGAGACACTTGCAATCACTACAGAGACCTGAAGCATGGCTGGATGGATGCTGCCTTCGCCCAACATCAGTAGAACTATAGAATAACCAGCCTGGCAACAAATCACAATTCAAAGCCGACTACTGAATGTGCATCGCAGTCACACCATTTAAAATCCGAAATACCCCAAGTCAAATCATCGTAAAGCTAGGAGCACCTGTAGCACAGAGGCTAGACGACCAGTAATATTACTCCAAGGAAACCAAACTGGTCCTGACCTGTGTGTTGGTACCGAGCTTCTGGAAGATCTCGTAGATTTGGTCCTTGAAGCCTCTGCTCAACATCTCATCCGCTTCATCCAGGACAAACAGCTTGATGTACTTTGCGGCTAGAGAGAGTGGGAGAGCAGCTCATCCAAGGGCCTTGCCTTCCCTGTGCTTTTGAGTCGGGCACCGAAGGGCCCCGGAGAACCTCCGGGCATCTACAGCTGAAAGGCGGCTCTACTCACAGAGGAACTTGCGGTTGAGCATGTCGAAGACGCGGCCCGGAGTCCCCACCACTATATGCGGTGCTTCGGCCTGGAGCTTCTGCACCTCGTTCCGCACGTTGGTGCCGCCGATGCAGGCGTGGCACGAGGCACCCATGTAGTCGCCTAGGGCCAGGATCACCTTCTGGATCTGATACAGGATGGGAGGACAAGTCAGGAGGATGGATTCCAGGTGACCAAACCAGTAACTCTCAACCTGGTCCACGGGGACCCTCAGACAGTCCATGTTTTTGCTCCCGTCCATGTTTCTGCAAGCTCAACCAAGCTGGGCAAGGGTCTTGAGGAACCCACCAAAAGGCTACAGAACCATGCTTGGGAACCTGGCACTTGAGGTGGGCCTGAAATCACATACTCGAATGCTATGCAGTAGGCGAAATATAGTACGCTACATCAGCAGTATGTCCCAATCTTCAGTACGGATGAGACAGCAGGTGAACGGTAGTCAGATGACATGCTACATTCTGCGAAACTCTGAAGTGCGCGACCGATAATGTAGCATATCTCACAAGGCCACTGGAACAACGAAGCACGTCGGTCGCTCAAAAAAAAAAAAAACAAAAAAAACCATGCCAGGCAGACAAAGTGCAGTGTCTGTACAAATGTCAGTAGAAAACATTACCCAATAGGGAAGTTGACCGCCCCCCCCCCCCCCCCATGAAAGTCATTAGACTCAAGTTAAAACATCTGAGTCAAACAAGATACGAGATGGCGAGTGCAGCGTGTCTGAATGCTTGCACTCTGCTCTCACGCATACACACGGTATACCCTGCACTAACGGCTGAGCATCAGGCTTCAGACCAAATTCAGTACGTCCTGTGTAAGTATGCAATTTCAGGTGCACCCTTACTTCTCCGTCCGTGGGAGTTCTTAAAATTACCGGGGGAGGAGATTTTCAATTTTCCAACGTGTGCCGCCTATTTAGGGGAAAAGCTTATGTTACTGGCGTCCCTAGCAACCTGCCTGCTGGGCGAGCTCTCTGGTGGGGGCCAGGACCAGGGCCTGGGTGCCACGGAGCTCGATGTCGAGCTGCTGCAGGATGGAGATGGCAAAGGTGGCAGTCTTTCCCGTGCCGGACTGGGCCTGCGCGATCACATCATAACCTGGAAACAAAAGGGATTTCAGGAAATGCTAATCATGTATGCATCTACACAACATGCAAAAACTCACAACTGGACAGACTCAAACATCCGGCACATCTATTATTCATGGGAGTCTTTTTGGAACACTAACTATGTCCACGTCAAAATCCATGGGCGGGACCTCGACATGCTATCAGCCATTTTTAACCGCCCACTTCCTGCTCCGTGGTCACATGGGCACTGCCACTTCCTGTCCTCACCAGCAAACAGACGTACCCTTGATGCAAGGGAGGATGGCCCGCTGCTGGATGGCAGAGGGCTTCTCGAAACCGTAGGCGTAGATTCCCCGGAGCAGAGTCTCCCGCAGGTTCATGTCGTCAAAGCTGTCCACAATCTCGTTCCAGTTGCTCTGAGGGGATGAGTTATGGATTCAGTCAGACCTAAAACACTGCACCTTCAAGACTCACGGTGCACAGTGTGACTTTTCCCCACCCTGCATTTCCTTAAGTTGAATAACAAACTTTGCCCCAGAAAATCAACTGATGAAATGCCACTGGACAAACCGTCTACACTGGTGTACAACGTGACACATTAATCCTGGGGTCTCACCTCAATGACACCATCTGGCTCCATGCCTGCTGGGCCATCGTCCCCAGATCTGAAAAGGAACATTCACCCAGTAACCAATGTACCTGCAATACTACAGAGAAGCATCAAGTCTCATTCGCAAGACTAAAAATATGCTTAAAAAAGCCCTCGCGCCCACCGTTTGGCTCAGCCTCGTGCCGAATCAGCACAAATTATAAGGGTTTTTTAAAGGCCATCATTCAATTGCGGGACATCCCTGTCCCGCCTCACGGGCGACACGTTCCTGTCGCGAGATGGAGGGTGTGGGACGGACTTATGGAAAAGGGGAAGCAGGCGGGCAGCCATTCCTCCCTCCCGGCACGAAATGGGCGATTTATGGGGAAGCGCTACCTTAAAAATAACGCGAAAACAAAAAATCCGATCAACGCTACGGAACACGGGGGGTATCCTCACCGGCCTTGTATAATCACTCTAGTTTAACATGAGGATATTTACCAGGCAGGCACTATCCCAACATCCCAGCCTTTTGTTGCGGGTCAGCGGAATCTGCACTACCGACGGAACAGGATCTAACCGGACCTCCAACCAGCACCGCCCGGTTAAAACAGACCGTTATGCCGTATAGGTTAGACGCCGGAGCCTGGTGTGTGATCGGCACCGCTTTCCCCGCGTTTTCCCCCCTTCACTCCCGGGTACAGGCGGGCCATGTGCTCATCGCACGATAATGAAAGAAAAAGGCGCCCCGTCTCCCTCCAGTTTTTAACACCTCCCATAAGCATAAGCGCTCCGGGTTTTAACAACAGGACTAGTCTACAGTATGAAGATAATCAGTTACAGAAGGACAGACCATCAAATACAGACACGATCAGCCCCGATTACAGCAAATCTACAAAAAATGCGAACAGATGGGATAACAGCAGTCCCCCACGAGCCTCTCCATTGCTATAAGAACGACTTTCGACGGATATCATGTAACGTACTGATTAAGTCCTACAGCTGTTTAAACGACCATTTCTATGCCATACCAGCTCGTAATGATTTCGCAACGCTTGAGCCGAGGCTCGCTTTCACGGTCATTTAGTTACTTTCCTTAGCTCCCCGGATAGTCTCTTAAAGCGATATACTGAAGAACGTCCATCGAGATCGAGCGAAATAAAACAAGACTGAGCCGATTCGCCGCATCGCTTACCTCTCTTCATAATAAGCCGACATTATCACAAAGGGCTAGTCTGCCGCGAAAACGTTTTAGACGCCTCAACGTGGTCAATCAAGCAGCCTTTTGATTGTAACGGCGAGCCGTCATTCCGCCTCGGGGGCAGCCGTTTTGACATTTCATTGGTTAGTGAATGCGTCACTTAGCCGTGAGGTTTCCGCCCCCTTATTCCTGATAAGGGCAATAAAGGTGGAGCGTCGCGCTTAAATCCCGCCCCAAAACGGCGCCCTAACCGCAATAATAGGATATATAAGGATTTCATTGGACGTCTCGCCAATGATGTAAGGCGACGAAAAAAAAACGGAAATAGTAATAGAGACCACCCAATCGTGACGTCAAACATTCCGGTAAATCGGCTGAACGTCAGCTTCCGACGAATGTCCATGTTATTTTTCTTGCAGTTTTTTAAATAAATTAACAAAATCGAATTGTTGCAAATTATCGGCCTATGAGTATAAAATACTTGTAAAATACAGTTAAAACTTCCGAGGTACAATGACTGATGTTTAAAATCCATATTAACACACAATTGTAAAAAAAAAAAAAATCTGCGAAATTTTGGCTGCTTATCACTGACCACCAGGTTCTAATGAAATGTACCTCAAAAATGTTAATGTTTAAAAATAAACAATAGCTGGATGTACATAACATAATAAATTTACAAACGAGAGGAGGCCATTCGGCCCATCAAGCTCATTTGGGGAGAACTTAACTAATAGCTCAGAGTTGCTAAAATCTTATCTAGCTCTGATTTAAAGGAACCAAAGGTTTTAGCTTCCGCTACACTAGCAGGAAGACTATTCCATACTCTAACTAAACGCTGTGTAAAGAAGTGCTTTCTCAAATTCAGTTTAAAATGTTCTCCTGCTAATTTCCACCTATGACCATGAGTTCTAGTATTTAAATTAATATTAAAGTAGCCATTTGGCTGAACAGCATCCAGAATCTTATATTCCTGGATCATGTCCCCCCTTAGTCCCCTTTGCTTGAGGCTGAACAGATTCAGCTCAGCTAACCTCTCATCAGTTGGTAAATTTTTTTCGTGTCGATTTTATTTTCTATGAATCTACTAGATGACTGTTTTAACGGAAGGCAATCATGTCGCAAAGGATTAATTGCACAGACCTGATGGCAAGCTAAGAGAGAAAACATAAATCCATTACATTAAAAGAAACCAGAATTATTTTCAAATGGTTATGTCAAAGTAGAACTACTTGAACAAGTTTATTGCTTTTTTAATTCAATCATTTATTTGTAATCTTGTACTACAACATATAAGATAGAAAACAACAGATTATACTCCATTTTTACTATTTTTTCGTATATAACAATGTATAACTTACAGATACTTCAGCCATTTAAGAACACAGTATGTGACTGCTCAGGTCCACTTGAGAGTAAATTCTTGCTTAATGAAACAATCAGACTTCTTCCGCTACACACAGCTCATTAGCAAATGGTACTGACATGAAGCATGTGCATCTATGTGTCCATGAGCGACGCTGACAGCTCAGCGGTCTGTGCTGCCGGGAAACGGCTCATCCGCTGGATGCAGTTGCCCTCAGTCAATGAGGAAACGTCATAAAGGCAGAAAGGAAGATGAGGGATATTTTTAACGAGGGGAGGAAATCTGCAGAATGGAGACCTCTGGCTGTGGATGGTGAAGGAGCACCAGGGTTGGTGGAGATCTCCTCCTCTGATTGTCTTCTGGCCCTCCCCTCAATACCTCCCCTTTCCGACTCATGGCAGCAGCTTACAGTGACACAGTTCTTTGTACATGAGCCTCCTCAACCTGGGCATGTCCTGCTGTCCGAAACTGAACAGCTGTCCCAGCACCAGGCACTTACAGTACTGCAGGGGGCGACAAAGAGCCGGACAACAGGAGGGACAGGGTGAGTCACAGGAGGGGATTTTTAGTCTATTTTTATGCACTAGGCATATCTAAACGAGCAGCACATTTCCCTAAAAATGAAGGACTATAGCTAGTGTGCACTTACAAATAGACACCAAGCTAGTACCAGAGAGGACCCACCTTATTAGGGACACCCAGATAGTACCAGGGAGGACCCACTTTATTAGGGACACCCAGTTAGTACCGGGGTAGTACCCACCTTATTAGGGACACCCAG